GATTCAACTAGGTAAAACATTTAAACTATGTTAAAAGCCTAAAGATCCAATTTTAAAAACAATCAAAGTTGGTTCTTTGCCCAGTTGTCTGTCATGTGTGGACACAACACTGATTCATCCCTTGAATCAGGTGCTTTTTTGTATGCTTGATTCACAGGCTAGTGGCTTAACAAACAACAACAAGAAAAAAAAAATTCCTCTGAAAATGGTCAAGTACAAGGGCAAGTATGAAAAATGAAAATAAAGCAGCCAGTGTCTTAAGGAAACCTTTGAAAGACCTTCAGAAATGCTGGATAACTTTTTTGTTCAGCACCACTTTAAATAATTACAAGAAAGTAATAATTACTTTTGCTCCTTGAAAGTAAAATATTAAGAAATGAGGGATGGTTCAAGACTTAAAATATAATAGCTATACCTTTTGTGCCAATAGATGTTTTAAAGGAGAGTGCCATGTTACTGCCATACTAAATACTTTCCAGAACTCTTTCTAGTAGAACACAACATTTAAAGCCTGAAGGGTAGAATATACGTCAAACTAACAGTTTGCATGAGAACAAGGGAAAAATCTATATATTTAATCTCCTGACTGTCAACAGCAGCTGGTTCAGACTCATGAACTCAGTTGAAACTAATAAATATGATCTGGTTTAAGTATTAAACAACTGGTAAGCGGCCCAGCAGTCATGCTTTAGTACAAACAGATATTCAGTTCAGATCATGGTTTGTTTGTTGAATAATCGCTAATTCTTTCAGAAAGTTCACCCAGACCTTAGCGACCAGTTTTACCGCTAAGATTAAGATCTGAATACCAGCTTTCAAGAAGCATTGATCTCATAACTCACTTTATGAAATTAGCATGTGTAAAATGAAAAATAAGTAAATAAACATCATGTGAGTATTGTTGATAATCGCATTAGAAAGGTTATCACGAGGCAGCTGGTCGGTTGAACCAGTCAGTGATAGTGCTTCACACATGTCTGTAAAGTCTGTACTGTGAACTACAAAAGCTTTTAATTTAGCATAAAATTAAAAAAAATAAAGGAGATGCAGTGAAACGATAAATAAATAAATAAGACGTGCAGAAGGAATGCTGGGTAAACACGCAGAAAGTGCGAGCAAATGCTTTTGACAGATTTCTTTGTTCCTTAATCCTTCAAAGAGTATTTTATTCTGAGCATTCACGACCTTCACAAACAGTGTTTACACTTTTAAAGCCATATTTAAAGGCAGCTTGGATATTTTTCTTTAGTGATGAGACAAATCAGCCCTTCCTCATGTTCTAACAGCTATTTATTAGCATTTAAATAATATATAAACTATGTGGAATATTTTGGTAATGCAAAAAGTGCTGGATTTGAATCTATAACTTGTCTTCAAACAGGTTGTTTTCATCATTTTACACTGCGTTAAGTGAATAGGAGCTGCTTCTGCTTATAAGAAGAAATGCATCTATCAATGAGAAAAGCCTCTGCATATTTTGTCATATAGCGGTTAGCAGTATTCATGCCGGATTAACACTCGTGTCCCCCAAAAGACATTCAAAGTACTCGCAGTGTTACATGACATGTTGTTGCCGTGTTTCCTTTCTGTTTTGTATTCTCAAGGTAAGACTGCTCTGAATGGTGGGTGGCACTTCGGTTTCCTTACAGGAAGTGCTGACGTTAATGAATGGTAATTTTTCCTCAGAGGAAAGAGTGGGTGACACGAGTTCGTTGAATTAACGTGCCAGTTTATTTCGAGACCCCAAAACCTCTGAGCAGAGCTTTAAACCCACCCGTTTGTAACTCTGTAAAACCCTGGTGTGACTGTGACGGGCTGAAAGAGGACATCAAACACACAGATGATGTTTCAGGGCCAGTGCAAGCGGGAGTTGTAGTGTTGTTTATGTTCCCTGAAAGCTGGAATCTAGTGCACCTTGGCTCACAAGCGAAATTAATCGGACCGTGTCAGCAGAGAAGGATGTCTGTTATTTGGATTGTTTGGTCTCTTTTCACACATACGCAGAGCTTTTCTCTATTTTGAAGCTCAGAGCTTTCTGGGCGCTGGATATCCCTGGGAGAACACTCTGTGAGGGTTTAGCTGTATTTCTTTTTTGTTGATTTGTCCTATAATCGAGACTTTTTTAAGAGCTCGTTGAGTGGTAGGGATACTTTGAAGCTTCCCCCTGCTTAGAAGTCAGTCTCCTCCAAGGATTTAGCAGTCCACTTTAGCACTTTGTGTGACTGGCATTAATATCTGTGACATATATTGGTTGGACAGAGCCTGCTAATTTGCTTTTAAGACAACAAATGTTCAGTGGCTGTTTCAATTCACCTGTAATCAGAAGAAGTGGGAATAAAGCAGTCCTCCTCATTATGTTGTTTTTGCCCTTTGTGGGGCATTATCGAGAACCTTGTGCAGCTGGTTTAAGAAAGGGATTTGATTTATTTGTTTTTAGCCGTTGTGCAATGCTAGCTGGAACCTCTTCGCTTGGATTTGTATCCAGGCGTTCTGAGCTCATAAATTTGCATTGAATCTGCACAGCGGGTGAAGTTGTTCATTGTGTGTTTGCCAGTAATGTGTGAATATAGTTGGGGGGGGGTTTACTTAACTTGCCGTCCAGTTGCATTTTGTTTGGTATCTTAGAGAGCAAAAGCAAACCGTGGATGTCGGAAATAACGAATGTATTTAACTTCCAATTAATCAGTGAAATGAGAGGCTGGTGTTGGTGTGGCGTTGGATTGAATTAGTCGAACTGCTTTTCTTTTTTTTTCCGTTTTGCGTGTGCGTCAGAGAGCGAATATGAGAGAAGCACAGGAAAAAATTTACTGGCAGTACAGTTTGCAGTAAATTTATATTGGACAACAAAAAGCTTGAGTGACTGTGAGAATGGCTTTGAAGATGGAGCAAAGGTTATCCTTCTTTTTCAAAAGAATGACAGTACAAATAAAAGAGACTGGCAGCTGATAATCTTTGATGGATGAGCGAAGGCAAAAGTCAAGTGCATTTGTGCGTTTGCTTCTTTATTCTCATAAACAAAGACTACAGATAAGCAGCAGGAACACTTTTGCAGTTCAAATAAAAACTGCATATTAAGTTTTAGACCAGCCAACAGGCACAAGGAACTAAAACATTTTATTTTGCAAATGCTGTGTTTGTCAGAACTTTTTTCCTATTTATCTGGATTATATTTTGCCCTTCCTTGTTTTCTGAAACGATATAAAAACGTGTGAGTCATCCAACTGAGATATTATCCTTTTGTATCAATTCCAAAGGCTTTTTCTCTCAATTAGTACTACTGTTTCCAGAAAACCAAGCCAAAAGTGCTTCATAGTTTCTGTTATGGGAAGAGAAACACATTAGAGGACATTAAGTATAAGGATCATTTTGAGCTACGATAATAATCTGCAGTAACTGCTTCAGTAAACCTCTCTGGTGGTATAAACAGCACTTTAGTCTCTCTTGCTGCATAGTGATTTTTGTCCGTTATGGCTGTGGGTAATTTATGACGTCAAGCCACTGCTGGTATTAACATGTGATTCTTTAATAACAAATCACGGAAGGATTTCTAAGTGACATTTTTCTCCACTCTAACTTTCAGCTGGCCTTACAGTCTTGCAGAGGTTTCAGTAAGTTTACTTTAATTTGAGTCACAACACCATCAGTGTGCGCTGTATGTGAAAAGATGCACATTACAAGCAGAGCTGCAGAGGTGATGAGTCAAGTGACAAGTTTCCTATATGCAGTGACGAGTTGAAATATTCTAGACAAAGCCTTGAGATGAAACGGTTTGATTGAAGCTTCTGCTTTGAGAGAGACAGCGTTTTGCCTACACGCCTCAAGTGGAAGCAACTTTTTAAGGCATTAATGGCAGTGAGCTTGAAGAAAGAAAGGCAGGAGTGCAGAGGAGCTAAGAAGAAGACTTATCCAGACTGTAAAATAAAGATGTCACATTTTTGTCTAGAGCCAACATGTGGCGTCCTGATGTTTTGCTTCTTCAGGGTACAACCAACAGTGGTAGTTGTCTCAGTCGTCATGATTTGATGTGTTTTTACATATTAATGGATGAAAGGCATGGCCTTTAGGTGGTAGTTTAGATAAAGCAACTGACATTTTTCAGCCATTTAAATGAAACCTGAGTGAACATTTATAGAGCCTCCCATTGGTTCAGGTTTGAAGCATGACTACTCAAAATCTTACTTTAAAAGAGCTGTTTCGACTGTGGTTTTACTCTGTGGTAACTATTATTGTTAATTATTGTTATCAATAACTTGCAGACTGGATGTTTTAGTAAATTATACTGTATATAATTTTTCAAATTCATTAAGGATGTGGTTCATATTCTGACAATTTTTTTTAAAAATGTGAGCCAAATGTGTTTTGCTCACCAAAATCTTTCAGATATTCAAGTAGACTGGATTCAGCAGTATCCCTGTAGTGACAACTGAAGTGCTAATTAGCCGTGCCAAACAAGCTGTGTTGTTGTTTACACGCAGCACCCGTTGAATGACGCTCTTCTGTTAGCGGGTGATGCTAATAATGCTCTGCATTTTGTCGTGTTTTACAAACGTAGTATTTTTTAGCGCCTTTATGTACTGCTGTGGTTATAAAGTTGCAATGAACTCTAGTTTTCTTCTTCTTCTTCTTCTTTTGTAGTAATCATTTAGGGAATTGAACCTCTCTTAATTCTCTCTAAATCTGATTTCTGGCAACACTGTTGTTTTTTGTCTTTTTAAATGCATCAGCTTCAAAATCCCCACATAGTGAAAGAACCTTTCAGGCTTGGGAAGAATGTTCAAAAATTATGCTATTATGTTGACATGTCCAGTTCATCTGGAATAAAGTCAAATCTGTTCAGTGGACTTTCCCTTTTTCATGCTTTTTGTTAAAGCTCTTGTCCTTGTGAAAAAAAAGAGAGCTTCCTCAGAAGCGCCCAAGTTTGACTCACTTCCTCCTTTTGGTCTCTGTCTCTTTCTTTCTTTCATTCTCTGTCTCTCTCTCTCTCTTTCTGTCTGTCTCAGGTTTGTGGTGCTCCTTTTTAGAGTTTCCTGCTCTTACATGGTAACACAGAGCTGAAGGTAAGGTGGATTTTATTTATTTAATTACTTGAAGCCAAAGTGAGGTTGGTGATGAAATAGCAGTGACATGTTACAGTGAGCTTCCTGTACATGGAAGAAAATGGCAAAGGCAGAACGGCTGACTTGCTTTTACAGTATATTTAAGGTTCACGCCAGGATGTTTGTATATTGAGGTCAAAGTAAAGCAGTTGCTTGGGAGCATTTCACTTTTTCTTGGAGATGAGAACTGAGGTGCTACTGGTTGTCAAACCCTGTTTGCAGCCATGTCTTTAAAGATCTGTTGAACACACTAAAACACCAGTTTGTCCCACTGTCTTCTGACAGCACAGCAAACACTCTTTTAAGCTGCAGCTCCCATTATGTTCAGCATTGGTCTATTTATATGTTTGTGAAATACAGGTTGGTGTAGAAAGAAAGTCCTACACCCACGATGGGTGTCACAGAAAGAGGTGGTAGAAAAGTTTTGTGCTCTTCCTGTCGGCTCCTCCTCCAATCAGCTGATTTGCAGTTTTGGGCTGATGCTCTCTGCTGATTCCTTTACAGATAACATGTGTAGGTTATTCATTTAAAAAGCACTTGACTGTCTTTTCAAAAATCAGTCTTTATGCCTTTTGTGTGCTTGTAGTTTTCTTTCACACAGGCAATCGGAGAATAGTTTCTTGACATTTAACATGCAAAAAATGCTTATAATGCTTTTATTTTTTTTTTTTTTAATAAATTTTGCTTATTTTGAAAATATAGCTGTAAAGGTCAGCAGGTGAACTCTAGGACACAATGAGAACCATAAGAGCACAGGAACAGTAGAATAGGCTTTGTGTCGCCAGATTGTGTCGACAGATTGAGTGGAATTACCTTTTTGACCCTATTTCACCTTGGTCTACAAAGACATATAGTCAGTTAGCAAGCATGCATGTGAGCCCAGCTATTAGGCATTTATGACATCCACATGCACAGGAAAAGGCTTTTGAGTCGGGTTTTTGTTTTGTTTTGTTTTTTAATCAAGTTAATTTATTGTCTAATTGACACATGTTTTCTTGTACAGATGACAAGAGGTCACTTGTGGAAGTCATGGGATATTTTTGTGCAGGGAAATGGCTACCGTTATTATGCTTTATCTGTAGCAAAACGCATGTTTTCACATGTTCTTTATGAGGGAGTGCAGACTAACAAGGTAAAAAAAAAAAGCACTCTTCAATCGGTATAACGTGGACAAGATATGTGACAGAGACATAAGCTACAATGGAACAAAAAAGAGCAATGACAAAGAAGAGGATGAACATTTTTTCCTTTTGTTTTTGTTTTTTTGTTTTTTGATGCATTGTGTAGTATCAATTACATGTACGTGGATATAAAAACTATACATGTACTGTCAAGCAGAACCACTGACACCACAGGCACCTACAAATACACACATGCACACGCAAACACTCACACACATACACCACAAACTTCCCGCGTACTCATATCTCTCAGTCTTTTACTGACAGTGACTGTGCCAGTTTTGAGAAGGGTGAGTGGGTGTGTTGACTGGAAACAAGCAGCAGTGACCCAATACAAAGCCCTCTCAACCAAGCCATAGCCCTCAGTGTGGAGTTGTTGGCTCCACAGAGGAGCATGTTTAAGTCCTCAACATGTTCAGTGAAGGAGAAAGCGACCCAAGCGGGCCGGGCAAGTGACCTGGATCTTCAGTCGTAGAAGGAAAACAGAGACATGTGTATTAGTCACTTCGTAAAGCGGACTTAATCAAGGTATAAGAAGATAGAAGTGTTTTAGTCATTTATTTACCATTAAAACTATTTTTATCTGTATGACTGACTCTTTTGGGAAAATGTTAAATACTTCACTTAAGTGATGTTCTTTCCCCAGTACATTTAAAACCTTTGTAAAGCTGCTAAACCCACATTGTATCCCAGCTTGCGTCCGACAAACGCAGCTTGTATCCCCGATATTAAAAAATATCTTTCTCAAGGATTAAAATGATCAGAACAACACTTCTGGAGGCATTCTTCTCGTGCACAATTTTACAGCAGGTTACAAGTGTTTGTGGCGTGTTTTCATGTGTGTGGCAGAAGATGGGAAAAGATGTGCAGAGTAAAATCCATGTAAAATAGCCTGGACTAATTACTACTGCAGCTGAATCCAATTACCGCTCGGTGGAAAAAATTATAAATATTAAGTTATAACAAGTTATTTTACATGTGGTGTCTGGGATGTCTTCTGTGCTTTTGCAGAACATTACCAGCTGGGATTAAACACCTGAATTGAAAAATGAATTTTTGCCATAAATGTTTGTAACTTTCTATCTGTGTAATATTACACTATACTTTAAATGGCTTCATAAAGTGGCTTTTATTCCTTTTAATTGTGTCATGCTAGTTAATGAAAGGTTTTTAGGTTTATGCCAAATAAACATGTTGTTTGTATCATTCCTCATACTTCAGCTGTTTTTTTTCTTCCTTTTTTAAAAACAAAACAAAAACAAAAAAACCCCCAAAACTCACCACCCTTCATATTCTTGACAAGCTATGGTTGTTGTGCTGATTTCTGCAGTCTTTGTAAAGGTGAGACACTTGGCAAATAGTAAAATGAAAGCGAAAGTTTCATAAGTTGATCCGAAGTGACCTGAAATGATCTTTTTCTCACCACTTTACACCCCTTTAGTTACTGTTTTCAGTTTATGTGTAACATATGTTCCCTGCACTCTAATTAAGAATTCTCCCCTTTTTCAGCTTAAGGGTGTTGAAGATGGCGGTGTGGATCCAGGCCCAACAACTGCAAGGAGATGCCCTCCACCAGATGCAATCTCTGTACGGTCAGCACTTTCCAATTGAGGTGCGACATTATCTGTCCCAGTGGATAGAGAGCCAGCTCTGGTGAGTTTATTTGATGCACGTGTGACCAGAGAATGTAAAGGATGTTAAAAAAAAACATCCTAATCCTATTTTTGTAACATTTTGATTTGTTCTGTTCAACATCTTACAATTTATCGTGTGTGTTTGTGTGTGTGTGCATGTGTGTGCGTGTGTGTTAGGGATGCCATAGACCTGGAGAACCCACAGGAGGAGTTTAAGGCCAAACGCTTACTGGACAGTCTTATACAAGAGTTGCAGAACAAGGCTGAGCACCAGGTTGGAGAGGATGGTTTCCTTCTTAAAATCAAACTGGGACACTATGCCAACCAGCTCAAGGTGAGGCTTTTATTCGAACGCCGCTGCATTCTTAATATAGTTCCCATTTAGTGCTTGGTTACCTGGCAATAGCTATTAAGCAATAGCTGTTGTGTTTTATTTAGAGTTGCTTGGCTTTGATTTGCAGCGGGTACATGTGTATCAGCTGTGGCTTGTTTGTCAGACCCTGATTTGATCATCTGTGGCTACAGAAATAAGGAATGGAAAGTACTGGTACTCCAAGTACTGGGAATGTCAAAAACAAGGCATTCAAAAGCAACTCTGAATGAATAATAAAAACAAAACGTACTAAATCTCAGTATTACACCTACCCAGACTGTAGCACTGTTTTAAGAAGAGCATAAAATTGTTTACAATGTCACAAAATGATGTGATTGATGTGATTAGAAGTCACAGCTGTTCAGCTTAACTGCCTCCCTTACTGTAGTTCTCAGAAAGAGCACTTGTTGCACAAAATGTTTTAAGAACAGGTTGTATCCACTGAGAGGAAAACAACAGGACGGCTCGAGCGAGGGCCTCAGTAGCTAGCCAGCTCTGCTATTTATGATCGAACTCCCTCTTCACAGATCTGTTCTTCTGTTTGTTTTCTCCCCTCCCTGAGACCACGAGGAAAAACAGGGAGAATGGGGCAGGCTGCGCACATCACACTGCAGTCCTGAATTCCTACCACACTGTTTCCCAGTTTATGGCGCTGAGCACACGTGTATTCGTGTAGTTGAGAGTGACATGTTAAATGTGTCACTTGGGTTCCTCTCTTTCCTGCAAAAGTCAAAAAAATGCAGATATATAGCTACTGTGAATGATTTCTCTCTTTCTGTGCGGTATGAAGTGAAAGCAATTCAACTTGAAACTTAATTCCTTCACTTAAAACAGGAAACAACAAGAGTATCACCCGCAGTTTTAAACTGAAACAAGATTTTGTTACACTGTAACAGACAAACCACTTAACTAGGCGTATACTAATGAGTCATGGACCTATATGAAGTGTGCTCATTAACTTAATAGGTTTTGGTGTGTCTGCAGTGTTAGCTCCAGAACCTTTGATTCTACTAAATTGGCGAGCCCTGTGTGCAGAAGCCGCTCTACTCGTCAAGAGCTAACAGGCCTTAACACAGCTCATGTGCTCCTTGTCTTTCAGAGCACGTATGACCGCTGTCCTCTGGAGCTGGTCCGATGTATCAAACACATCCTTTACACAGAGCAGAGGCTCGTCCGAGAGGCTACAAACGTAAGTGGGATTCGTGTTTGTGCATCGAACATGTATAAAAATAAATCATTTCTGAGTGTATATGTGAAAAAGTATTTGCCACATTCCAGTTTGTTACACTTATATTTTCAGATCGTCAAGCCTATTTTAATATTAGACAAAGAAAAATACAAAATCCAGTTTTTTAAATGAAGATTTTATTTATCAAGGGAGTTAACCAAACTCTTCGTGACCCTATGGCAAAATAACCCCACCCCCAGCTTGTAAAATCACGATTTAACTGTGATTAACTGCTTTTTTTTCTTTGGAAAGCTGACATATCTTGCCACAATCTCAAGAAACATGAGAACGGCTGAGAAACAAAGTCATTGAAATCTATCAGCCTGGAAAGGGTCGCAAAGCCATTTCTGAGGCTTTGGGATTCCAGCGAACCACAGTGAGACCCATTATCCACAAATGGAGAAAAATTGGAACAGTGGTGAACCTTCACGGGAAAGGCCGACCTAACAAAGTTACTCGAAGAGCGCTCTCACATTTGCCAACACACACTTTGATGATCCTCAAGACTTTTGGGACTGACGAGACAAAAGTTGAAGCGTCATACCAACAGTAAAACATGGTGGTGGTAGTGTGATGGTCTAGGGAAGCTTTGCTGACTTAAATCCATTTAGATTTATGCTTAAAGGCTTCAGTTCAAAGCGAGCAAACCATTCATGCTTTAAAACCCTCTAATGTGGCTGAATTAAAACAATTCTGCAAAGATGAGTGGTCCAGAATTCTTTCAAAGGGATGTGTTTTTTAATTTACTCAGGTTGTCTTTGACTAATATTAAAATTTGTTTAATGATCTGAAATATGTAAGTGTGAAAAGTATGGAAAAACCAAAGAAATCAGAACAGCAGACACACAAACACACCTGTGGCTTCATAGCCCGCAAAACGCAAACTACATAATGGTGGCTGATTCGGAAAGTGGATAACTATTCTGTTTCCTGTATTTGTTTATCCTAGAGGATCTCCTGAGTTCATTGTATTCGAACATTATAAATGTGATATCGTACCACAGCCAATACAGTCATGCTTTAAAATGGCCTTGTAAAACCAAACCATTTCTATTTCCCTACTTTAACAATGCAATATACAGGAAAGTCAGATATTTCTCACTTTTATAACTTGCAGTGAGTTATAAAACCATAAAGCCAGCCGTGCGTAAGACATCTTCCTTGAACTCCTGTGGTGAATTGATTTTCAGTCACAACATGCCTTTTCTGTTAGTGGAGTTAATTTTGGCCCGTTCAGTCTGAACCTTTAGGTACAGTAATGCACTTTTTCAAATTGTGGTGACCTTGCACTCTTCCTGAGGATGCAAATACATTTTTTTCCTTATCAACTTCCACCGTTGCCACTATCCTTGTGCTCCCAGAGAATTTTTACAGTTAAATAGTGCAGGTGCTGGGGTCTAGCCATCAGTCAGTGCATCATGTTCATTTTGGTTCCGTAGCTGTCTGTCTCTGTTTGCTGGTCTCTCAATCTCATATTTTGTAATTGACAGTCAAACTCTCCAGTGGGTGGAATGATGGACAGCATGTCTCAGAAATACCAACAGATCAACCAGGCTTTTGAGGAGCTTCGCCTGCTGACCCAAGACACTGAGAACGATCTCCGCAAGCTCCAGCACAACCAGGAGTACTTCATCATCCAGTACCAAGAAAGCATGCGCATTCAGGGTGAGACCAGACGGCTTGCATCTTCTTAGCGCTGCACGACCATAATGACAGAATCAGTGTTTGTACTAATGCAGTTTTCACAAACTTAACTTATACCTACTGCAAATACCAAAAAACATATAATTAATGTTTCTAACTGTTGTTAGTCATTTAGATTTGCTGCTGTACCATTTTAATTCCTTGTTGAATCAAGAAACAAACTCTAGTTTATCTACTCTGTTTGTTTGGTGAGCAGCTTGCTTAAAATAGATCTTTCTTTTTTTTCCCAATTATGCTGCTCCCTTTTGGTTAATCAGTCTCACTTAGTCTGTTGTGTGCCACATGTCACTGTCCAAATTAAATATAAAAGATAATTCTTCATACAGCTATCTGAATTTTGTGTTGAGTCATGTAGTTTAACAGCGGGAAACTGACAGCTTCTGTAAAACTACAGATTTTTCACGAGTGCGCCATGTGTCAGACAGAAAGCATCGAGCTTTTTTAATATCTGAGCTATGCAGGAGGGGGAGGAGGGGGTTTTCCTGAGTAAATCATTATTCCTCAGATGGGACATGAATATTGCATGTGCACAGGTTAGAAATTGTTACTGCTTCTCTTCTACTCCCTCTGTCTTTAACTTGTCTCCCGTCTTCAGCTCAACTGGCCAGCCTGGCCACACTGCCCCCTGCTGACCGCCAGCTACGAGAGCCAGCCCTTCTGAGCAAGAAAAACACTGTGGAGGCATGGCTGACGAGAGAGGCCAACACACTACAGAAATACAGACTGGTGAGACATACTTGCACTTACTTATTTCGTTCGTGTGTGTGTGTGTGTGTGTGTGTGTGTGTGTGTGTGTGTGTGTATCAATGTGTAAATTACACTCCATAAAGATAAAATTAACTAGAACACATTGTGGAATGAGATCATATCACTGCAGTGCCAGTGCAGTTGCCAGATTACACCCATCCTTGAACTGGGCCTTGGTTTTGATTTTAAACTGTACAGAAAATCTTGGACAGCTGATAAAATCTCTCCACAGACAGACATATAAACACCTGGCAAAGAGGTTGAAGCCAACTTTGTGGTAGTTGCTGCTACAGCTGTTGTCTCCCAGACATTTTATCATGATGACTGTCACACACATACACACACAAAGCTGGTCCCGCGTTTGCTTTTTGACTTTAAGTAAATAAAGTATGGTATATGTAGGTAACACTACACCCACAGTGAAATCGGCCATCGCTTTGATTTTAGTTACAACCCTGTAAAGTTTTGTGACCGCACCTTGTTTCGAGGCAGTCACATCCAGACGGACATGCAGAATGAGCAACTGTTCTCTGCAGCTTTTGTGGTAGTTGCAAACATTACACTCCCTAAGTTAAGTCTTTACCCCTTTTAAAAGCGTAATAGGAGTAACCCTTGATGCTTTTTTCTGAACTGAGCCATTTCTCTCATATTTCGGGCCTGTTTATAGCATAAAATGACTCAGTTTGCATCAGAATTAAGTGAGCATGGTCTCTGCATATGCAGGTATACTTGGAAAAACTTAGAAACTCTTTTAATAGTCGTCAAACCACATTTTTATTGACATATATACTGAGGTGGCAAAAGTAAGAGTGAGGTAGAGGTCACCAAATGAGGAAAAGAGTCTCTCCATAACCACGGTTTACTTCGATGACGCACAAATTTGTAGCCCACACACAGATTCACAGAAACATTTGACCAAAACTTGGTTCTGGTGAAGTACATGTGTCTTGCTTGCTTGTGTGCAGGACCTGGCAGAGAAGCACCAGAAAACACTGCAGCTGTTGAGGAAGCAGCAGACCATCATTCTGGATGACGAGCTGATCCAGTGGAAGAGACGGCAACAACTGGCAGGCAATGGGGGACCGCCGGAGGGAGGCCTGGACATCCTTCAGTCCTGGTGAGTTGCTTTTTTTTCGCTCTACCTCCCACCAAGATCACAGTAACTAGACTCTCTCACAAGGCAAAAGGTCACAGGTTTAAAAGCTTGCTTTGGAGTGGTCCTGTGTGGGGGGTTTTTCAAAGGTTATTGGCAGGCATAGGCTGTCTTACATATTTTCTATTTTTTGCTTTAACCCACCGTCAGGGATCCCTGGCTGTGAGCCATTTACATTTTTAAAGGCCTCACTTATTCAGCCAGATCTGAAAGTTTTAGTAGTGTCAGCTACTTAAATTCTGTCTAATATAGCTGAGCTCAGCTTTCAGGAGCTCAAATTAAAATAAGTAATGGTGAAATATAATATTTCTGGCACTGGTCGTGTTGATCTTCAAGTGTTATTCTTACTTGTGTGTCTTTCTTGTGGATGCGTGGCTGGATTGGTGCCAGGTGTGAGAAGCTCGCGGAAACGATTTGGCAAAACAGGCAACAGATTCGGAGGGCCGAGCATCTCAGACAGCAGCTGCCTATCCCTGGACCTATTGAAGAGCTCCTCAACGAACTCAACAGTACTATCACAGATATCATTTCAACACTGGTCACCAGGTGTGTTTGTGTGTTTCAAGTTTTTCTACACATCAAAGGCTGCAGCACCTGGCATGCTTATGTGTTGTCTGCAGGTTTTATGTAGAGCTGTGCAGCTCACTAGGAGTCGGGGGGTTGGGGGGGAATATGTTAGAAATATGTGGAACCACTAATGTGCGCAGCTCTTGTTCGTGTTTGTCTTGCTGTTGGTCCTTAACTCCAGCCGTGAAGAAGACAGTAGCCATTACAGAGCTCTGAAGTGTTAAAAACCATACATATGATCTCTGTCTGCTCAAGTCGGATTTTTAACCAGGCAGCATTAAACGACTACACGGCATGTTTACACTCAGGCTATGTGATATTTTTTGGACTTTTTGCAATCACGTCTGCATTTGTTGAATACCCATAAATCTCCACTCTGCATACTCAAATACGAACACTGAGGGAACATCAATGAGGGGTCATAAATGGCACATTAATCTTATCTACAACTTTAATTTATTTTGTGAGTGTAGGCCAGTGTAGGCGGTGGGTGGATCTTTTTTGCACATTGAGGAATTGCCTTTTATGCACTCAGGTTACTGAGTGCAAAAAGGGCAATGAAAGGGCAGGTCTGCTTGTGCAACTGGTATTGTGGTCAATGGAGTGAGAGATGTCATCTTTGTAAAATGAAATTACTCCGGCATTCGAAATTATCCATCAAATAATGTAATTCAATCCACATGCAAAAATGTTGTTAAAGTTTGGGTTTTCTTGTCTCTCTCTTACACTTATTGTGTGAGTGTTAAAGGAAACATGAGAGCTCTTTACCTTGTACTTAAGCTATAATCCTGATGCTGCCGCAGCCTGTTGTGGTAAAGCGAGCTGAGCAGAAGGCAAAGCTTTGCTGGACAGTCTGCTTTCCTTCCCTGACCTATGGCCACAAGCTATTGGTAGTGACACACATAACCTTCCTTCAAGGGGTGTTTGGGCTGCCCTCAGATATGTCAGACATGTCTTCTAGATACCCTCTTTTTGAGGTATTTTGGGCATGGCCCACTAGGAGGAGATCCCAGGGCAAACACAAAACATGCTGTAGAGAGCTGGAACATAAATGTCTCTGAAGAGGAGGAGGCGGTGGCTGAAGGGAGGGGTGTCTCAGCATCTCTGCTTAGATTAGATTACTGCAACCAGTTAAATAGTAAAAAGTGAATAGGTGGATGGACTATTCTATGGTATCCGATAATGCGATAGTGGGGAGGTACATTAATACACATAGCACTGGTAACTGTAGACATCAATAATCCACCATCAATACCTCTTTTCTCAGGGTAGCCCTTGCACAATTTAAGCTGCATAGCTGTTACCAATATCATATATTACAATAACCTCGATCCATAGTGCTAGAGTCTGGGTGGTAAAGGGAATTTTCCATTATGGACTTTGGCTAACTGCCCCCAATAATGACTCCCACACTCCCACATAGACAAGTACACTGTACACTGTATTAAACTGCATAAACAAAAGTCAAAAAGTGGGGTTTCAGTTACTGTAACCTATGGGGATTAGACCTTAAAAGTTAAATTAAATTTAGGATTTGACTTTATGTAATACAGAATAATGAGTGTGAAAGCAATGCACTGAGCATTTGCATTTTAGATTTCATGAAATACGTACGAACCCAGAGACAAAGAATGCAACTATACAGATATGCAGAAACAAAAAGCATACACTGTTCGAGAGCTTAAAGGGAAGGAAGTGCACAGGGAACTTGTTTTAGTCCATTATTTTAAGCCCCAAATGCACATATGCCAGTATCTTTTAGTCATCCAGCATCTCTGAACAAGAAGTATTCTGAAGTTTGTGACAGTGTCCTCTCTCGCTTTCCTAGTAGATTCCCTGCAGGGACCCATAACCCACTAAGAAGTCATGTCATTGTCACAACGATTTTTGACTGGCCACAGACAAGTCTGAAACAAGACAGTAATGCACAGCTATCAAGCACAATATAAATGCAGATTATGTTTCCTCCTATCTTTACTCCCTAGGAGCCCCGGGAGGTTTCACACTGGCAATTGCAAAGTGCGGTCTTCTCATAACCACTTAGTTCAGCAGTATTTGTTTGCTTTCAAGCTTCCTCTGAGCCTGCAGGATTAATCATTACGCTGATTCTGCTGTTATCTCACTTCTTGGTCTCTTTAATGTTAATGTGGAAATCAGAAAACGGCTACACCGCCATACAAAAGAAGCACCAACTCTTTAAGAAGAAAGTAATTGTTAACCCTGTCGGTTAACTTGAAAGCGATTACTTACATGACCTTCAAATAGTGCGCAAGGCAGCAATAAAGGTCATTTTGAAAGGTTAATGTTCTCAAGCCTGCAGGTCATTAGAGCATAAAGAGTTTGGAGTTTTTATTAACAAAACAAAACAGTTCGCTGAACATTACCCCATCATTACCCTATCATAAAACATGCTCCATCCTTTATATGCTTAAAACTTTTTCCTTAAACAATTAATGCCGTAGAGAGTGCACATACATAACAGGTTCTGCTGCAGTGAGGTTACTGATCTCCTAATATTTGTTCAACTCTGCCTTTCACTAAAGTTCACTAAACTACAGCGATACCAGTCTTTCTAGCTTTAGTTCATTGACTCGTTTGCATAGTTTGCATGTTCTTCGTCCCTTCTTTTCTCTGCATGCTTAAGTGTTTCTCACAGTTTCCCACAGTCTAAAGATATGCTTGTATAGGGCTGTGCGATATGACCAAAATCTCATATCCCGATATAAGAATTCTATCGTCCGATATAAACGATAATAACGATATAAATCACAAAAAAATTATATGTAACATTTTCTGTAAATTCTGTGAATCTCGGGCAGCTCGACTTGCGTGAAGTGTTTCCAGCTGCGCGTCCTTTACCCGGAGTCAAGTGTTTTAACCGATGCATGAAACTATACATTTTTAGACATAAGTTGTAACAGCCGCAGTTTTCTTTGTATTTATTACACGGCGTGCTGCGGGTTGCCTGTTCTAACTTTTGAGTCTAAGGTTTATTTTTTTAGCACCTGGCGGCTCTTCTTTACTTCTCATCCATAAATAATCTGCTCTTTCACGTGATTCATTTTATTTTGAAAAGTCTCAACAGGATCTTGAGCTTTATTGTGAAAGGTTTATGTGGAACATAAACAAGCGGACACGCGAAGGTGTCACCGTCGTTGTTGCTAACGGCAACGCATAAAACAGGCGCTTGTCCGTCAGTAGTGTGGTTATTTACATATAAGAGAAAGAGAGAACTTTAAGAAATTAATATAGCCACTACAGTGACCATCAGAACGATGAAAAAATATTGCCGTAAACAGTTTATTTTACGACACCACGAAACAAACGATAGCGTAAAATGAAACGATAGATGTTTTTATATCATCATCCGATATATATCGTTATATCGAACAGCCCTATGCTTGTAGGTTAACTGGCAGCAGGTGTGGATGTGACTCTTAATGCTTACCGGTCTCTCTGTTAACCCTGTGATGGACTGGCAACCTTTCCAAGGCCTACAATACTTCCTCGCATGTGTCAAAATACGCTGTCTTGGCTATTAAAAACATATTACAAGTTCATGGTCATGCAGCTTAAGTAGGATACGTTTGCTTTTAAGTTGCTTCTCAGCTCAAAGTAATCATTAGGTTGTGTTATTGGGCCAATCACGCAACAGACAGTAAAAGCAAAAGAATAATTTCATAAGAGACCTGTTGTTTTACTGAGCAGTGATTACCTTTATGACCTCTATTAGTGGGAACAGTTACAAATAAGGTCATTTTCACCTTGTGAAGTTTCATTTTCAGGACAGAGTTTGCAACATTCAACACCAAATAATTTTAACATGTTTTACATCATAAATCATTCATGCTGTCTTTTTTATGCTTTAAGCCTGTTTTATCTTTTATTGAAACAGTTTCAGTGAGTAGACTATAAGCTTAGTTATAGGACAAGTGACTTTTTAGTGCACATTCTCAAAGTTGTCAGTCTTCTTTCTACAGAACGAAAGCAAAAAGCTTAAAAAATCCACAGTTGAAAATTGTGTACATAACCTGCACAACTGGAATGGAAAGTTAACTGTTTCCTAAACAATTGTTTCAGTTGAAGCTGCAAATACTCAGCAACAATTTAAGACCGAAGTAGAGCTTATAATCTGTGCAGCTGTACTAAAGTTCACTAAACAACAATGATACTGATCTATTTTGCTTTTGCTTGGAACAGATGGAATTTGACACTGACATATTTGCAAACCCCAAGATTTCCTCACGTACACTGTTGGTTGTTCATGTGACACTGATACATACTACCAGAGCTGTTATTTGACAACCCGTTAATTAAATGGACGGGTGGTTGGATGTCGCTTTAAGATGTGCATATAGTGGCAGTAGGTATCTGATGATAAAGACATTTGTCACACTCTAACTGTCACTCTTCTATCCACAGCACATTCATCATTGAGAAACAACCTCCACAGGTCCTTAAAACCCAAACTAAGTTTGCCGCTACAGTGCGCCTTCTAGTGGGAGGCAAGCTGAACGTACACATGAATCCCCCACAAGTCAAAGCTACCATCATCAGCGAACAGCAAGCCAAGGCCCTCTTGAAAAATGAAAACACAAGAAAGTAAGTTTGGTGCATTGGTGCAAATGGACTAGTGCTTTTCTGCTGATCACTCAAAGAGCTTTATACAACATGCTTCATTCATACAGCATATACATACATCCCCTTTTTTTTAAACGCTCAACTTTTCGCATTCCATCTTCCTTGACAGAGAGAGAGATAACACTGCAATAAGTTACCATAGCGCAATTAAGATAAGCGGTTTGGTTTTCTTCAGAGATTACGGGATCCCATGATGAACTCTGGCCTAGTGTGTCCCGAGACCGCACCACAGAAACATGACTGGAACTTGAACAATGTCTAAGAGGAATCTATGGTGTGGACACAGAATCCGCATTTAGCCTGTTCCACAGCCTCGTTCCACATTCCTCCTAACTAATAGAAACCTTACAAGACTGTAGGTCTGCCAGGCAGCTAGTGGGAAAGTGGCTGAGCGGCTACATCTTAGCAAAATCTACAGAGCAAATCTACATACATCTGCTGCGTCTCATCTAAACCACTTGTCGAGAGACTTCTGCCACAACGTCTCGCTCAAAAGCATGTGACTAAAGAGGGACGCCACATGAAGTGTAGTCTAGTAATGCTAAGCGTTTTGTAACTGCATTTAACAAACCAATTCAACAAACCAGCAGTGTGCGCATGTCAGTAATTTAGTATGTAGGCAGTGTCTGAGGAAGTGAGTAGTGAATGAATGTAAAACCAAAAAGCACGACATAGCTCCACCGGTTAGTGAGGAAATCGAAGAGATAGAAAGTGAGCAAGATGGTCTTGCTAGGCAGCTTAATAGTCTCCTGAGCCCAACTTGCTCAGGTGTGGTTTCTATCCAGGTTGTCTCCACCCACTAATTTCCAGGAAGAAATAAAAACATGCAGGCTACAAGGAAAGACAACAAGAAAACAGCCCTGAACCTGCCATACTTGTGTTTAGTGTTTAGAGAAGACTAATGGTGGCAGTTAAACCTGCCAATTATGCACGCAATACCCCCCCTACACACACACACCTACCAACCACTCCCTCCATACAAAACAAAAAGCTCCTGCTGTGTAAACATGCATTTGTAGATAATATCTAACTTTATTGTCTCTGTGTTTCAGTGATAGCAGTGGTGAAATTCTTAACAATAACTGTGTGATGGAGTACCACCAGACTACGGGCACTCTGAGCGCCCACTTCAGGAACATGGTAAGTATGAGCTATTAGGGAAGATTATTATTTCCATGTAAAAAATAAATGAATAAATAAAAAAAGTAAAGCTGAAGTAGTATTGCCATTGTTCCTTCTATACAAAAAGTATCTTAGCATTTAATCTAAAATAATAGCACCTTGCTATTTGCTTTCTTTTGCTGCACTATACACGAAACAGGTAAATAATAAAAATGTCTTGGGTCTATACAGGAGAGTTGCTCAGCCGCTTATATAAGGGAAGTAATTGCCAATCATTATGTCCCATATAGCATTTTTTCCCTTGGATTAAAATTGTGAACAGTAGTCCTTTGGAGGATCGGCCTGCAGCTTCAGTGAAGTTCTCCTCTTCGTCACTAATGTTGTTAGCAACAATCTCCAGAGCCCTCCAAGGATTATTCACATATGATCCCAATAATCTGCATGCATGTACTGACTGTGTGTGACGCTTATAAGCCTAACTGCGTAGTTAATACATACCATTTGTTCTTGCACATCATTTATCATGCAGTCTTTAAAGAGGATCAAGCGATCGGACAGACGAGGAGCAGAATCTGTCACAGAAGAGAAATTCACCATTCTGTTTGAGTCCCAGTTTAGTGTTGGAAGCAATGAGCTTGTCTTTCAAGTGAAGGTAAGAGGATGTAGGCAAATTAATGAATAAAAAACACTATACTTTAAATACACATGTGTGTGCGTGCATGCACATGCTGCAAGTAAGAATCTGGCTCAAGTACTCCCACTTGTTCCTTCTGTCTTTTTCCCTGTTGTTTTTATCATGTTTAAAAAAAAAATTATGAAATGCAAGAAATGTTTTATTGTGCTGTAAGTGCATTATTTACTTTTGCAATTTCCTCCTTTCTTTCTCTCAACAGACATTATCACTTCCTGTAGTGGTGATTGTTCATGGTAGCCAAGACAATAATGCCACTGCAACTGTATTGTGGGACAACGCTTTTGCAGAGCCGGTACGTAAATGTTTCAGAGATATTGCATGCAATGCAAACCTTCCTGGAACAAGCATTAAATAATTATTCAGCTTAGTGATATTTTTGTATCCTAATGCAGAAGTACTGCGTTAACTGAGGAAGGCCTTGAATCAAATATTTCTGAAGCGTGCACATGTTTAAATAGTTTAGCTCTTACAAAATAATTGCTAGTTCTTTAGATGTAATGTAACACGTGCAGCCCGGAACTGAAACACAAGTGCGTGTTTAAATCTGTTTTAAATTTAGGTTTTTAATGTAATTATTAAATATTTAATTTTTTTTCTTTAAAAAAAAAATGTTTATGCAAAGGCATAACGTGTGTGTCACTTATGTTTTGTGTCTGTGTGTTGTATCTGGTGATGTGAGTGAAAATTCTTTGCCGTTTTCTTCGTGTGTTGCAGGGCCGGGTGCCTTTCCTCGTGCCAGATAAGGTGCTTTGGCCTCAGCTGTGTGAGGTCATCAACATGAAGTACAAGGCAGAGGTGCAAAGTAATCGAGGTCTGTCGGAGGAGAACTTGGTATTTCTGGCTCAAAAAGCCTTCAGCAGCTCCAGCAACAACCCTGATGACTACCGGAGCATGACTATGACCTGGTCACAGTTTAACAGGGTTAGAAACGGCCTCTTTCTTACTCATGATCCTGTTCGTCTCTATACATGCACACAGCTTTTATGAAGAGTATTCCATATATCTGTTTTAGCGAAAGTATAGATTTAAAACGCCTGCAGGCAAAGTTCAGTTAGTCATTTGCACCACATACTTGTTCTTCATGAAAGGATTTACTATTGCTGTGTTATTCATACATAGAAATATTTCTTGCTCCATTTGCAGCAGTTCAAGGGGTTTAATCAATTTACCTCTGATATAACTGAACCTCTGAAAATGAGCGACTATATATCAAAATAGCTGTACTTCCTAATTAGTTAATGCAATATGTTTTGTTAAACTCCTTTAATTCAACATGAAAGACTTCAGTCAAATCTTGATTGTTTTATCTAAAACCTACTGTGCTGGTGCACAGTGGTAATATGACAAAAATTGTGTCATTGTCCAAATACTTACCCACCTAAGTGTAGGTCGGTTTAATGGGCTTGTTTATCCGCACAGGAAAAAAAAAATGCTGAAAGCCTCATTTTCTGCTTCTAAGTAGCTTGTGATTCAGAAAATGCACTCAGATTCACCACAGGCCACGGGTCTTATTAGATTACAGGAACATTAAGTTTTAATCACTCCAGAGATGTAAGTATAGGTTATAGAAATATGCAGAACTTTACCCAGAGACGTGCACAGCTGCACAAATTTTAAAATCATAAAGAGAACTGTGATTACTGTCAGCGGTTGAGGAGATTTTCATTATTATAGACTGAATTGGGTCATCAAAAAACATTTTAACAGTTGTCAGTTCAGTCTGGGGTTTTTTTGTTTGTTTGTTTTTCATGTGTTTTAAAAAAAAAAAAAAAATTCCCCAAACTATGCCCCTTTACAGGAAAGCTTGCCAGGGAGGAACTTCACATTTTGGCAGTGGTTTGATGGTGTGATGGAACTCACAAAAAAGCATCTGAAACCACACTGGAATGATGGGTAAGGAAACTGCTGAGGGTTTTTGTTCAGTTTCAAAAGATTCAAAATGAGGAGGGACAAGAACGAGGCACAATTTTTATTTTATTTTATTTTATTTTATTTTTTATTAATGTCTCTCTTCCTCTATTTTTAGAGCCATCCTGGGCTTTGTGAACAAGCAGCAAGCTCAGGATATGCTCATGTCTAAACCCAACGGTACCTTCCTCCTGCGCTTTAGTGATTCTGAAATTGGAGGAATTACAATTGCCTGGGTGGCAGAAAATCCTAACAAAGCAGGTAAAGCATGCAAAACACAAAATTTCTCCATTTTTGTTTTTTAAACCACACCGTTCATCAGACGGGCCTCTTTCTAACAAGCACAGAAGCCACAGAGAAATAAAGAAATCCCATTCAGTTTTTCTTTTGTTGCTGTTTTTTTTCGCAGGTGAAAGAATGGTTTGGAACCTCATGCCCTACACAACCAAAGACTTTACCATTCGCTCTCTGGCTGACCGCATTAGTGATCTCAACCACCTTCTATTCCTCTACCCTGACAGACCCAAGGATGAGGTTTTCTCCAAATACTACACTCCGCCTCTCTGTAAGCGTCCTTCTGAGCACACTGTTACTTTCAAATTTGAATCTCACAGCTGCGAAGCCTTCATTACTGAATGATGATCACATCGAGCCATTACTTATTCTGTCTGCCTGTGCTTGTCTGTTTCAAAGCTAAAGCAGTTGACGGTTACGTGAAACCACAGATCAAACAAGTTGTGCCTGAGTAAGTTCCCGTTCTCTCTTTTTCTCGTGTCCTTCCATCACCGTTTCCTCTCCATTCTTTTCTCGTTGCCATCCACCCAGCATTTTATTCTGTAAAGCACAATTTAGAGTTAATCACAAAATACTGGGCCATGAATTCAGATCAGCTATTAGCTAGCTGTTACAGTTGGAGGAGGCCAATTAAGCGCGGCCTGGGTTCCTGCGCGAGCTCGTCTTCCGCTGATCATAAGAGTTAGGCTTGTTAGTTAGCAAGGCACGCTCCCTGCCTTTCTCCACAGTTGGTTCACCTGCAGATATGGAAAACGGCCATAATGATACAAGAAGGCCTGAAAATCATGCTGAGGATCGTTGCTTAGGCAACTACTGAACACAGGCTCATGGGGGGTTGTTGTTTTCTTTTCTTTTTTTTTCCTTGTGTCTATGTGTAGATACATTCAGAGATGTATACGTACTTTGTTCATTACCAAAATGTGGTGTTTTGGTTGTTTTCAGGTTTGCCACAGCCAATCCAGACCCAGCAAGTGGGAATCCAACTTACATGGATCAAGGTGCCTCTCCAGCACCTGTCAGTCACCCTCACGCCTATGGCATATATCCAGCTATGTGAGTTTACAACATTTTTTCCGTGTCCCAATTTTGTGCGTGCAAGGAGTTTCTTGTAACTCCTGCTGTTTGATCGCCGTTATGCCGAAAGCTTGTGTGAGTGGCCTCTATCTATTTCCTGTGGCAGGGCTGACTCTATGTTGGATGCAGATGGAGACTTTGACCTAGATGACACCATGGACGTAGCGAGGCATGTAGAAGAGCTTCTCCGGCGGCCTGTAGAGAGCCAGTGGAGTGGCCAGCAGTCGTGACCTTTGACCGTTTAACTCGCAACAAAACCAAATGAGCCCTGCCCAGCAACTTGCCCTACTCACATCGACATGGTTTAATTCCATTGGTCTCTCTCATTTTTTTTTCAGATTGCTATAATGTGAAATGTTCATAATGGTTGTGTTTTTTTTTTTTTTTTTTTTTGCTTTCCAGCATGAAAACATGCATGCCAGTGACTTCATATTGTTTTTATTTGTGTAATCAGTGTTTGTAAAAGAAAGTATAATGCAAAACCTCTAATGTTACAATGTTATGAAAAAGAAGTAATGGTCACTCACATAGTGCATGCATTTTCAATTGATTTTAAACTGATTTTTTTTTAAAATATGCTACTGTATGAAGTTATTTTAGAAGTTGAATGTTTTTATTTTATATTTTCTTCTTTGTAAATGGGTTATTAGTATTTTATTAGTGACATTGAACTTGCCCTTTGACAAAAAAAAGAAAGAAAAAAGAGAAACTTTGATGAAAAGTTTTGATTTTGCTCCTAACAACATAATCCGAGTCACTGCTCTGGAGAGTTACAGTCATTTTTTTTCAAACCCATATACACTAACCTAAAGGCAGAGTGACTCTTTGCTCACTGACAGCACACACGCTTCAAAGATACACATGCACAAATTTAAGGTGTATTTGTTTCTGATTTGTTCACCAGCTGAAAGGAGGGGAGAATTATGTACCTCCCTTGCTCTCACAGGGCTACTTTTTCTTCTGTTTGTACCTGAAATGCAAATCTGAGCATCTACCCAGTGCTGCCTGCTTGTCCTCTCAGGTCCCTCTGTGCCCCTCATCAGTGCTACCTCGCATTATTCCACTGACAGTCTCTGTTAATGATTCTCTTGTTGTTTTCTGCACCACATTCTCACCAGTAGGTACGGTCAGAAGTTTTTCTTCTTTTAATCTGCATTATTTTTTGTGAAGACGATCCCTTGCTGCACAGGCTAACTCTGTTGGCTGTTTTTATGCTTGAAACTGCTCACCTGGAAAACACCGGAATCATGAAGTGTCACGTCTGATTGTTAATGCCTGAATATTTGAGGCTGTTCTGCTCCCTTGTGACTTTTCGGCCTTTCAGTGCATATATATATTTTTTTTTTTTCTTTGCATCTATGAACGAGTGCAGACTTCGAATGCTTGCACATACTCACAAGCTGCTGGGTCATGTTTAGGATTCTAGGATGTTGAACTGTGTCAGTGTGTTTCTTTACCTGACTTTTGATTTCCCCCACCCGTCCACACACACATAAAAAAATAATTGTCTTGCATCTCAGGAATGAATCACTTTGCTTAACTGATGTATAAGCCAAAAAGAAGAGATCTATGTATACGAAATATATGAATTTATTTTCTCTATCTTAATTGTATTTTATTATTATTATTGTTTCACTGGCACTCCCAAATTGAATGTAACCTTTTGCATGACCGTACAATACTCTCTCCGTCAGATAAGAAGTCCCCCGTTGACCATAAGTAGCAACTGAAAAAGGACGCACGGCAACTGGAAATTAAAGGTGTAGTTCTGTGTTTGTCCAGTAAACACAACAGTATTTGAAATATTTCTTTTCCTTTTTTAAAAAAAACAAAACTTTTTCTTTTGCCTCACTTTCTTTCCTGTTTTAGAAATCTCAAGCTACATGGACAGTCTTGTGCTATGTCTCTCATTATCATCACTTCTGAGCTTTGTTTCACTGTAGTCTGTGTATTTTTTAACGATATAGATGGCGCTGTGTGCTGTTTTATGTACGTACCCTGTTTGTGGTTTGGGTTTATGACTTGGAAGTTTTCCAAGCGAAAAAGCTGTTGGGTTGAAAAGAAGGAAATAAAGTTTTATAAATAATTTGAATTCAATCTGTAGGAATACTTTGAATTTTAAATGTCTTGTGCTAAATATGTTTTGTATGTGCAAATATACAGAGTAAAACAAGTAATATGTCATAATATGCAGTACAACATGATATCAAAGTGATGGACTAATCGATATTCGATGAGGCCTTCCATATGGAGAAAACAAATCAAAGTAATTTATGCCAGATTAAGAATGTGAGCTGAAGTCATCACCAAAGAATCTTGATTCTTGACATTGAATTAAACGACTAAAAAACAGTACTTTAAAAGTACATGCCTAGCTATTTGCATGAATATATTGACTATTGCACGAAGCATACCACTGTGATTTAAAGTTTTACACGTTTCTCCGCCAGGCAGTTGTTTCCTACCATAAATTATAATTCACCCACACTGCCTGTGAAGCTTTTGAATGATGTTAAGCTGTTTTCCAACGGTGTTAACAGGCTTGCAAACTGGAGCATGGAGAATTCAAAATGCTTTTCATATTGCACAATGAAAAAATACGTGGCATTGGGCCAACGATAAATGCAATTAAAAACACAAGATTCACATTCAGTTATTTTGAATGATCAACTCTAAATAGTATAGAAACGGAAAGCTTATTGGAAAAATAATAGACCATTTGTCAAAAGTCAGATCACCCCTGATCTGGGGCAGGCCTAGAATGTCCCATCCCCAGTGCCACCATAGTTTTGCATATGACAATACTGGTTATTAAAATAAGCTAGAATTAATACTTTGAGCCTAGCTGCAATTAACGTTGACTTATAGATACTAAAACTGAATATGTTGCATAATATAATTTGCATAGCAACCAAAATTGCTTTATTTTCTTGCTTTTAGCAGCAACTGACACCTCTAATTGTCCCTGAGCACAATTTGAATCAATAACATTTGAGATTTCAACACAGGTGGTTGATTGTTACACTGGAAATGCTATGAAGGTGAGTCTTACGTAACCCAGTAAATCATGAAAAATGAGGTTTAAAGTTCTGTTGGAAAAATACACCCGTTTCTTCATGAAAGTGCAGATTTCTGACATTTGGTGTAACAATTTGATTATTACTAAAGACTTTTTACTGATCCATCTCACGTGTAGCTTTCTGGATTTCACACTTATTTGGCTACATGCTTATTTATTATATAGGCTATACAGTACATAAAATCAAAAGCCAGTAAGAAAGTTATAGACTATGTCTATATGAATGATGTGCATACTTGCTGCATTTGTATTTAAACCGTATTTGATACATATTACAGAATGTAACACCAATGTGTAAAGAAATGGCTTTGAGTTGGCCACCCCATCTCATTTTCATGCCACCTTAAGAAAATATCTCTAGATCCACCCTGGTGTCTTCCTCTATTTGAAAGGAAATTATTTCACATGCTGGGAATCTATATATCAGCTCGTTTCTGCCATCTAGTGGAGGCAGGAAACATGGCTTTGTGTGGTTTTTTTGCTAAATTGTCACTTATCTGGTTTGTGTCATGCCTAGATAAGAGATACATTATTTTCCATGGAATTCAGTAAAACTTAACCACATTCTGCCCATTTTTTTACTATTGCTTTTTATTTAAACAAATAAACAAACAAACTATTATTATAGCGCAAAGGCTTGATTTTGCATATGAAGACTCAACAGACTCGAGTAGTTTTCCTGTAGAAATTGGGCCTAAAATAATTTACAGTACAGAAGGGACTATAGAACAACTGCAGGTAGGTCCATAAGTTTAATGTGCAGGGCTTTACTTTCTGATTAGTTTTCCAAATCCTGCAAAACCGACAGATATTAATAGAAATTGGATATTATTTGAAGTCACAACCCAGTGAAGCATGCTTAGTTACTGTAGACAAAACTGAATGTTGACTGGAAGCGTCTGCAGCAAAGGCCCGGCAGAACATCTTAAAGAAGACACGGCATTTGATGATAACCATTGATCGTGGTCTTCAGGCAGTCATTAATTGTAAAGGATTTTTTATCAAATATTGAAAAGAACAATCCTTATTTAAAAACTATATTTTACCCAATTAGTACTGAACCTCGTAGTTAAGGGAATTAGGCATTATAATGGCTGCAATTCCCAGTTAATGCAATATTGTTTGATTTCAAATTCACTGTAGTGGTGTACAGAAGAAGAATTCCCCCCAAAATGATACAATTAAATAAATTAATAAATACTGAAGATAGAGAAAGTGAGATATATGAAATTGTGCTTTTATAATTAGGCTACAGTAATTATGCTGTGTCCATTTGCAATGAAAGTAATAAAATATATATGATATGTCAGTTTTGAGGGCGCAGACTGTTTTGTAGGTCAACCGAAAAATAATATACTTTTAAGGTGTGGTTATCTCCTGATGCTTCGATGTGTGCTCAGTCATCCAGGTAAGGAAATCCCAAAAAGTTGATTCTTCTCTGCTCATGAAAGGATGATAGTTTATTTTCCATCTATAGTTGTGTAACTATACACATAGGTATAAGTTAGCACACTTTCTGAGTTAAGGACATAATATATATATATATACTTTTCAAAGAAGCAGCTGTTAGCCATATTCTGTACTTTAATATCTCTATCTTTATTCTAACTTTTATGAAACAAAATAAAGAGCCACCACTAGATGTCAGCAGAGTCCACAGGATCAGAAAACGGCCAGTGCTTGTTGATAAATTTCAATTGAAAAAGTGTAGATTATTAACAAAGCTTATTCATGCAGACTGATATCTTTTCACTGGAAAGGTGTACGTGTTGATGACTGGGGTCTTATTCATAGCACTGAGCTGGCTTCTTTTCACATACAAATATGGTCATAGTGCAAAAGATCTTTTTGCATCTAAAAAATGGCTCCCATTGGCCTGTGGGATATTCAGGTATTTTTAGGTGTCCTGTATATTTGGTAACCTATCTTCTGGTAATCCCGCCCCTTCCATCCCTGTCACCTTCACTTCTTTGCTACTGTTAGCATGCCCTTTTCCTGTCTGAATACCATTTCTGAAGATCCTGGTACACTGATGTCTGATTCACTCCTGGCATGCATGCTGTTGATGTATATAGGATGTTCTCTTCAGAACCTGTATCCATATCCACATTTTCAATAATCTGTCTTAAGAGGTTCTTGTCTTGTTCCTATGATGGATAAAAAGTACAGCTTTTTCTTTTGAAGCACATAGCAGAATTGCCAAAAGAAAAAAAAATACTGCATGGGTTGATTTCACCTGATAAGGTAAAAGACTTTCTTGTCCATTGTTGCTTCTATTCACATTATCAGGCAGCGTAATCATTATGCTGTGTACAAAGACTATTTCAATTATTTACTGTCTAAGATTAAATCATAAAAAATTGTCCTCAAAATGGGGCCAAGATTAGGCCACTGTCAGTGGGTTACATTGAGCTCAGTTTCCCCCATTATTCAGAGGAGTCATTATCTAATGATCTTCTGATTTATTACTTTGTGAACAAAGCTGGTCATCAAATTGCTACATCACTACAATGCACATAATGATATGGGTATCTGCAACGTTTTGACAAGCACTACAAATAGACATATAGT